TATCTGGTATTGAGATCCCACCTACTTTGTTCGTCTTTCTCAGGATCGCTGCAGCTATTTGGGATCTTTTCTTATTCCAGATGAATTTTTGGGGAGTTCGTTCTAGATCTGTGAAATATGCCGTTGGTATTTTAATGGGGAGTGCATTGAATTTATAGATTGCTTTGGGTAGTATGGACATTTTTTTTATTTCTTAAATATTATATTTATTGGGGGACATTGGTTAATAAATTACATAAGTCTCAAGTGCACAATTTTATATAATACATCATCTGTATATAGCACTGTGTGCTCACCATCCAAAGTCAAGTATCCTGTGTTTCAAGCAGCATTTCTCTGCTGCTTTGTGATCCTTCTTCCAAATGTTTTAGTCTACCATTGATCGAAAATTCTGCAAAGCAGCCTGCATCAAAAGAGTATCTGTCTTTATCCATTCTTGTAGGATGTGCAATATACACACAACCGCTATCAGAATCCCTTCTCCTGGTCCTCAGCCCCATGGGGCGGGATTGTAGCAGTTCATTCCTGGAACAGGCGTTTCCGGGCCTTGGGAGCAGGCCCCAAAGGGCGCCTGGGGCGCACCTGAGGACCTGGACTAGGGGACGGAGGTAGAGCTTGGAGCGGTGAGCTGGGGAAGCGCTCCCACAGGTGGAAGTTCAGGTTGAAGTAGGGCCCAGGTGGGCATCTCTCTGGACTAGGCGTGGGGGCCCGAGGCCATGGCTGTCTGATGGGGCCATGCGGGTAGGAGCCTAACCCCATTCCAGCGACCAAGCCGGCTGCAGGGACCATCCAGGGGGTCAGGAACCCGGGGGCGGCATCCTCGTCCTCGTGGTGGGCCTCTTGCAGGGTGATCTCTGGGACAAAAGCGCAGAAGAATCCCTGCTGGATGGCGACGCCTCCCCTGGGAGCGCCCAGGAAAGTGCCGGGTTCCAGGCCTACGCGCGGGTGCGCCCCCACTCCTGAGCCCAAGAGCGCCTCGGGGACCAGCACGAGGGTGTGCACTCCCAGAGACACTTGCAGGACTGACGTGGGCTCGGGCTCCAGCACCAGGTCAACTCCGCAGTCCAGAGGCAGCTGCAGGGCACAGCCTACAGCCACGACCAGCACGGAGGTGAGCGCATCAGCG